CCTGTAATTCCGGCTACTTGGAAGGCTGAGGCGGAAGGATCGCCGGAGACCAGCAGGTTGAGGTTGTGGTGGCCGGGAGTGGCCTCTGCACTCCAGTCTGGGCGACGGAGTAAGACTCCAACTCAAAAAAAAAAGAGAAAGGCTGGAAACGCCCACACCCCCCACACCCATGTCCCTCTGCGTCTGCGTTTGCCTGGCTTGGCGGGTAGAGGACTGGGGTTTCTCCGTCCTCCCCTGAGGAGTCTTGATCAGGTGCCACGATTTTCATTTTGAACGGCTTCTCGACCTCGCTGGGAAAGAGAGAGACACAAGGGCTGTTTCAAGAGAGGGCACATGTGCAGTTGTTTTCAGTCAGCTTTTCAAGATGTGTGGTACAATTTAGGATTAGATATACAAGTGGTCATCATATGGGTAAAGTCTGGGCCTCCGTTTGGTCTTACGAGGCTCAAGATCAGGACGTGAGGAGTTGTTCTCGATTCCTCCTTTTTCAGTCAGTAAAGCAGGTCAGAAAAGACTGGCTGGAAAAAGAAGGAAGTTGGGTGATCTGCAGGCCGGGAGATGCTCCTTTGGTTGTCCCTGTCCTCATCTCCTAGTTAAGTTCTCACAAGGGGAAAAAAATATATATGTGTGTGTGTGTGTGTCTCTCACTGCAGCCTTGACCTCCTGGGCTCAGGTGATCCTCTCACCTCTGCCTCTGCATAGCTGGGACTACAGATGAGTGCCACCACACCTGGCTAATTTTTTTATTTTTATGTAGAGACAAGGGCTTGCTATGTTACCCAGTTGGTTTTTAATTCCTGGGCTCAAGTAATCCTCCCCCATCCACCAGGAAAAATACCTCTTAGCTCTTTGTATTTTTCTTACAGCAGCAAAGGAAAAGATAGTATTCTCAATAAGCATACATAAAGGTTTCTTGGCAGTTCTATCTAAATGGCAGTTGTGCTGCTGTGACCAAGGTCAAGTGCACTGCCTTTGTCTCTGCCTTTGAACCTCCTGCCATCCCTGTTTCCTCCTCTGGCTGGGTCCCACCCTCCAGGCCACACGGCCCAGGGAGAAGGGGGCCCAGGACCCAGTCAGGCGATGAGGGTGGAGGCCGTGGGAGCTGGCCAGGCCACGCAGGCTGGAGATGCGCATCTGTGGCACCAAGGTTCGAGAGCAGTGCCGGCCCTGTCCTGGAGGGCGCGGTGAGGAGCCCATGGGGCAAAGCCAGCCGGAAGACAAGGAGGCCAGGGCAGGGCGGGCGGGGCCCACCGGGCACTGAGACCCAGGTCCTCTGATGCTGCTGCTTGACGAGGTCCAGCTGCCCAGCCCACGCCAGGTGGCGTTTCACGGAGCTGGACCGGGTGTCTACGCGGGTGGTGCAGTCTGTGTGGTTCTGGACGAGAGCCCACACGGCAGAAAGCGAGGTGTCCCTCCTGGAGCCCTGCGCGTCATGAGGGAAGGCCACGTTGTTTTGGACGAGAAGCGCGAGTCCTCGCCCCAGGTGTGAGAAGGAGAAGGCCCCCTCCCTGCGTGGCTCTTGGTGGTCAGGGGTGGATGGAGTCGCAGCCTTCCGTCCCACGGGAGCCCAGGGGCTGATGACAGGGCTGTGTCGTTTCCACCCTCCAGCTGAAGCCCAAGTTCAGGGTCCCGTGGCTGGCGTGTGTGACCCTGTGGGCCCGTCCTGCATCCTTGCCCTGTTCTCTCTAGCGCATCACCAGACACAGCCTGAGCAAGCCTCCAATGACAGATCTTCACATTTACCTAACACCTTTTTTTTTCTTTTTGAGCTGGAATCTCACTCTGTCGCCCAGGCTGGAGTGCAGTGGCATGCTCCTGGCCGCCGCAGCCTCGACCTGCTGGGCTCCAGCAATCCTTCCGCCTCAGCCTTCTAAGCAGCCGGGAACTACAGGCACGCACTACCACACCCAGCTAATTTTTGATTTATTGTAGAGATGAGGTGTCGCCAAGTTGCCCGGGCGGGTCTCAAACCTCAGCCTCCCAAAGTGCTGGGATTACGGTACCTGTCGCCTTGTCAATAGAAATGCTTCTAAGATGTGCTGTACAATACAAAACCTCTTACATGTGGGAGAGGCATTTTACTTTGTGTTGCTAAGAGCCATGACTGGATGCTCAAGTGTCACCCGTGCTGCCGAGGACGTGGGGACATGGAGCTCACCCACTTGTGCCCATGCTCCTCTGTCAGTCTGCTTTTGGGATCCTGTGCTTCTTTTTTGCAGTTTTCTCCCTTGAAAGGAGACTCACGTGTGCACACATGTACACACCCATGCATGTACACGCGTGCTGTGCCTGTGGCATGGAGTTGCTGAGGGCCACAAGGGGCCCTCACCCCTCGGCCCTCCACCTTCCACCCCCTCCCCAGGAGCACCGGTGACCACTGGCCTGGGCCCCTGACACTGTGGCCTCCACCCCCATCCCTCTCCCTACTCTTTTTCTCTTTGCTCTCAGCTTCTATCCCTCCCTTCCCTGACACACATCACACTCTGGTTGTCCTGGTTTCCTCGACTGGCCCTTTGAGTCTCTGTACCTTGTCATGGTTCTTAATGGCAGGCCAGCGGCCAGAGCAGGCACCAGGATGCCCACAGGAGCAAGTCCTGGGTGTCTGAAGGACCCTAGACATTGGGAGCACTGGGACCGTCCCATGAAGGAGAGATGCTTGCTAGTGCCAGAAATCCAATGGAATTCACCGAGGGCTTGTTTTATGCATGCTGCTGGTTCTGTCTGCAAATAAATGCATTATAAACTCTTCAAATAAGTAAATATATATGTATTTGCTTTTTCAGAGTTATTTCCATTCACGAGAAGCTATCTAACCTTGTACAAATAGCTGAACTATCATTGCCGGCAACTCCCGAAATTGCAAGTGAGAACTTGACTGACATGGAAGAAACAGAAGAGAAATCAACTGATAAAGAACTGGAAGTAAGTTGTTGAATCATGGAAACTGGCAATCCTGTTGAAGGGCTGTATTTAAGTATTTAAGACACTTGTTATTCCGTGTGACTCAGCGTGAGCTCTGTGGTTCTTCTGCCTCCAGCTGCCCTGCTCAGAGCACAGACACGCCCACCTCCTTGACACGCACGTGTGACCCTCCAAAGCCCTCAGCCTGTCCATGACCAGACATGACCGCCTTCTTGACACACACACCCCCATCCCTCCACAACTCTCCCTAGCCTGCTTATGACCTGAATCTGATTGGATCTCGGGAAGTCATCCAGATGTGATTGTGAATCCCAAGAAACATGGCTTTGTGACTTAATAATTTTGCTGTTACTTTTTCGCACTGCCACCCAGGCTGGAGTGCAGTGGCAGGCTCACGGCCACCGCAGTCTCGACCTGCTGGGCTCAGGTGATCCTTCCGCCTCAGCCTCCTAAGTAGCTGGGACTACAGGCACGTGCCGCCAAGCCCGGCTAATTTTTTTTGATTTATTGTAGAGTCGAGATCTCACCACGTTGCCCAGGCTGGGCTCAAATCCCTGGACTCAGGCAATCCTCTCACCTCAGCCTCCCAAAGTGCTGGGATTACAGGTTTGACCCCCTGCACCCGGTCATTATTTAAACATTTTTAATATTCAAGTAATAAAACACAGATAAACATATCATCTTGGAGACTTTTCCTCTGCATGTGGGTCGGTGGGTAGACCCAACACGAGGCTGCAGGTGTCTGTGTGGCGCTCTGTTCATCTGCTCCCATAGCTGAGTGGTTTTGTGCCCGTGGAGGCTCATGCTCTGGAGGGATTCCCGTCCCTCAGAGTCCTGCACTTGTTGAGAACAGGCGCAGGAGATGGGGAGATGGTGGTGGGAATGTCAGAGCGTTATCTGTCGAGTGGGTGGGTGAATCCGAGGCCAGTCAACTTCTCAGTATTTTGACCCTGCTCGCACCCATTGTGGGGACCCCACAGCTGCCACGGCGCAGGGAAGTATCTTAGCCAGCCTTGCCCACCGAGTCACGCGGTCGACTCCCCGCTGCCCTGAGTTTACTGCAGAGAGGCAGAGACCACCCGTCCCGCAGGAGGGGCCTCAAAGGTGTCAGCAGAGCTGGCCGAGGGGCTGTGCCCGGCAGGCTTGGCTGCTTCTCCCAAGTCATGGACGGGAAGTCCCTCTCCCCTCCTGGGTGACCTGTGCTAAGCCTAGAAGCCAAGTATCCCACCCTTCTCTGGGAGAACGAAGTCCTCCCCGCGGAAATGAGAGGGGTGGGCCAAAAGGGTTTTCTCCTGACGGCCATTCTTTAAGCTTCTGTGTTTCTCATGATGTATGCTCTGTGTTGGGGCCATTTAAACACTAGCTCTAAAAGATGGGCAAGACGGGGGCTATCTCTGCCAGGCCTCTCCTGGCGCCCAGCCCGAGCCACAGGGACCGCTGCCATCACTGCTTGCCCCCATGCCCAGAGATAGCACCAGTGTGAGTCATGGCAGATGGGCAGCAAACACTTGCCAGTCCGGTGGGGCATGGGGTGTGGGACCTGGGAGTGCCGGCATCTCGCTGGTGACACCTGTGAGTGGACCCCACCACCGCTGCGGGGCACAGGAGGCAGGCTCGTCCCACCTGTGGGTGGACCCCATGGTCGACATGGAGCAGGGAAGGCAGGTGCATCACACTCATCACCCCTCCTGGGTGGGAGAAGGACAGCAGACACCCCAGGGCGGCTCAGGGGCCAGGATCGCTGCTTTCCCTTGAGGGTCAATTTCAGGTGACTTCTCGCTGCCTCGGGTTTGGGCTGAGCCTCTCCTTCCCCTCCTTCTCCTTGCTGTCAGCGCGATCACAGTACACACCGAGTTCCAGCAGCATTTGGTGCTCCCATGGCGGCGGCTGGGGCGGCCTCACTGCCTCCAGAGTGTGCCGTGGTGGTTCCCATCTTGAGGCTTTGTTCCGTGACTCGCCTTCCCCTCCTCACCTCCCTCTTCACCCAAGTCTTCCACACACTCATGCAGAGCGTTCACTCGTGTGTCTGTGCTCACCTGGCATCTCAGGCCCTTCCCTCCCAGGCCCTCCTCCTGGCCCCACGTCCTGTGTTTGGGTGGAGTCCCGCCTTCCCACAAGACTCTCCTGGGGCAGAGCTCGCGCACCACATCCCGCCAGCGCCTGCCGAGGCCTCCTGGGTTGGGACCTGGAGCCGAAAGGCACGAGGCCCAGGGGTCGGGAGAGATCCCCGGTGCTCAGGGTGAGATCTGCCCAGGGGGCATCCGTTCTGCCACCTCTTCTCTTTATTTCTGGTCCAGCGAATCTTTTTTCCTGAACTCATTTTCTGCTGGGTCAGTATTTCATAAGTTGCCAACAACAAAACATTTCTAATTCTTAAGGAATGTTATTGAAAGGGCTCTTTGCTTTCTTGTTTACCTCATTTGTGAACTTTTATTATGTAAAAGTGTAAATGTTGGCAACTCTCCTGGTGTTTCCAGGCACTTTTAGTGTGACTTTGCCGGTGGAGTGAGTGAGGGCGTTTTCCACTGTCTTTAAGCCACATGTCTGGCTGCTGGAGTGCGTCTGGAAGCCTAGTCGGCCCCTGCAAGTGCTGTCTGCTGGCACTTGCGCCTCCCGTGCCTGGTTTTCCAGAGCAGATGTCCTAGGATGTGCTTGGACGTTCTGCCCAGTGTCCTCGGAGGGCAGGCACGGCAGTGCTGAGTGACACACTGAGTGTGGTAACAGACCCCCGTGGTCAGAGAGTTCACCCACCCCAAGTGCAGAAGACTTTGTAGCTTTAGATGCAGAGAGACATTTCTTTAATAAAGGGCTTGGTTGCCCTTTCGTGGATATTGAAAAGAATCCCAGTTTGTTTTCATTTTCACACTTCTTTTGTGGAACGCAACAACAACTACGGTGCGTTAGCCACAGACCAAACATACCAGATAGCTGCTTTTGAGCCGTGGTCTAGAATTTCTTTGCGGGAATTGCCCCTAAATCCACCGCTATATAGTCCACATGTGGACAGCGATGGTTTTCTCCTGAGCCCACTGGGAGTCCTTCCAGCTAGAATTGTCCGAGATGGGAGAGTGAGTGTCCAGCAGGACTCTGGACAATGCCCTGCCGCCCAGTCCACCAGTGGCGCCCCAGGCTCTCACCACTCCTGGGGCTTGTTTCCCGTCTCCAGACCAAATGATCTTTTCATTCAGGTACTCTGTGAGGTGGAGCGGTGGACTCCTCAGGAAACCCTGAGCAGCCAGAGGCCCCTGGCAGGCAGGTGTTGGAGTCAGATTCGTCATGATAAGTCCAGTGTCCCAGCCAAGAGGGCAGCTGGACATGAACCAGGAGCTGATGAGGCCGCAAGGAAAAGAGGCCTGAGGACCTGCCTTGTCATGCAGAGGTCGAGGCTGGCCTTCGTGTCTGGACAGGATTGGCGTGTATGGGCCACCCGTCCACTAGGCCAGCTGATGTGCTTCTTTATGACTCTGAACTTATTTCCATCTCCAGCCGGCCCTAGTAGCTCTACACGTCACAGGACATCATCAGGCGACAACGTAGATGCGTGTCAGAAAATGTGGTGGGCAAACGGCTCACAGCATCTGAAGCTGAGAGGTGAAGGCATGCTTCCAGTTTTACTTCTTCCAGAATACTAGCCACCACTTCAAAAAAATGCTCAAGTCTGGGTTATATCCAAGAACTCCCATTGACTAAATGCAGTTTGTTGTCATGACAACCTTCCCTGCAAGCTAATTAGGAGCTAACTGGGACACTTGACGGGTCGGATTCTGGTCTGGAACTGGACAGAATTTCATACCTGCTGTAATCTATGCGTCTTTCTCTTGCAGTCTAGATTATTGGCGGGTTAGTGAGGAGAAGCGCCCAAAGATGAGCTTCCTGTTGCTGGGGGGAGGGCGGGAAGGGAGGGAGGCGGAGCCTGTTCTGTCTCACGCCCTTTCCTCCTGAAAATACCTCCAGAACACAGAGGCCAACTGGAGCAGCGCCGGAGGGCTGCAGAACAGGCGTTCCCGTCGCTTTTGGTTGGAGCCCCTTGTGTGTCCTTCCTCCCCAATGCCCTGGCTCAGAGTGACCGAGCCACTTGAATCTGGCACTCGCTGTTCAGGGATAAGTTTGGGCCCCTCAGGTGCTTAAAGCAGCAGAAGGTGCAAAGGACCCTTGTTTCAAGACCCACGCCCTCCGGGAGTGACTGCACACGCGTGCCGCCGGGATGGTGTGAGGCAGCCCGCGCCTGAGCGCAGTGGCCCGTCCCAGGTGTCGGTCACGGAGAACGTGGAGCACACACGGCTGGAAACCGGCGCCCCTCGGCTTGTTCCTTCTGAGGGGCCATTCTGCAAGGAGGCTTTCTGGGCTTCGGGAGTGAGGACGAGCAGAAGCCGGTGCAAGCGGTCCTTGGCCTAGCTCGTGCCACGGTGTGGCTGCAGGCTCCCAGAGGTGCCTCCCGTGAGCCCAGCCCCGGCCTCTGCCTTGGCAAAGGGGGCCGTCCAAGAGCACCAGCCCGGAGCTCAGAGCTGCGGAAACCCGTCTCGACCCCCAGGCTCTCCTGGGCGTCCCGCGGGGCGTCCCCTCCGGACTCAGAGTGTGTCCTCCGTGCTCTTTGGCGACCCCTGCAGCCCTCTAGCACCTGCCCCACGTGCGCAGCCTCTGGCAACTTGCCCTCCAGCCCGGTCACACGTGTTGGCTCCGCCTCCCCTTCCCACTCCGGCTCGACGGCCGTCCCGTTGCCTTCGCGCCTGTGGCTTCTCCTGGCCTTCCTGCCTCCTCAGGGCCTGCAGCCTGCACCGCCCAGGTCCCTTCTCAACGGGGGGCTGCTGACGCAAAGTCTCCTGGCTTGCTGCTTTAAAACTCATCCTCACAGATTGTGTGTGCGAGAACATAGGGCTGGACTCCGTGGTTGCCGAAACGGCCAGGACGGCATTTCATAGCCCCTGGGGACCGTCGTAAAGGCCGTTTGTCCTCGCACCTCCGAGCTCCTGGGCCCCACTGTGTCGTGATGGCCATTGGGAAGTCCTCTGCTCAGGTCCGTCTGCCGTTACGTCTGCCACGTCCAGCCAGGAGCTGCGACACGGGGCTCTTGAACAGCTGCTTGTGCGGCTTCTGGGGAGGCCTGTGGAAAACGTGCACCTGCCCTGTGGGTCCAGCAGGAGTGGAGGGCCGCAGCCACAGAGGGGCTCTCGTGTCCAGGGGACATTGAGATGTCCGCTTGGCAAGAGGGCAGGGAGAATGTGGGCAGAGTAAGTGCCTCCTCCGCTCTGACCTCACCACCGAGGGCCTGAGCGTCTTCTCTCGCGTTGCCCTCACGGTGCCTGAGCTCCTGACGGGCCGCCCTGTGTCGCTCTCCTCACCGACTCGCTCTCCTCACTGACTCGCTCTCCCCGGCACAGGAGGCCTCTGGTGGGTGCTGGAGGTCACACTGGGGTGTCAGGTCCGGAAAGGGAACCAGTGGAGAGATGCAGACATGAGGCGGGTGGTTCAGCTGCAACCCGGGTTTGTTCCGAGGAGTCGACCTGCAGACAAGACCGGAACCCCCACCACGGACAGGCAAGGGCCAGCATGGGGCTCAAGGGGAAGACACTGTGGTTGGCATTGAGAGGGGGCAACTAAGGCTGGCGGGTGAGTAAACTGGGAGGAAGCCTTGCTGTTCGGCTAGGTGCTACGTAGGGTAGGATGTTCTATGACTTTGGCCTAGCTGGTGAGTTTCCATCCTGGGGTAGGTAGCCAAGTGGCAGGGGTCGCTAAGATGGCAGCCCCAGGCCAACACCAGGGGCCTTGGCTCAGTGGGAGAGCACTGAGGGGGAGCGACGGGTCGGGGGTGAGAAGGGACAGCAGTGCCCTCCTGCAAGGGCATCTCGTGGACCACCCTGGTCTCCCAGCCCTCGCCAACTGCCGCTTCCAGTGCCGCCTCACCGGGAGGATGGCCCTGTCATCCTCTCTCGTCTCTCGGTGGCGAGGTCACCCGAGGTGCGCACGGCCCAGCCTAGACCCAACCCTGCTCTGAACACGTGTGGGGTTTACCCTGTGTCATGCCGAGTGGCCGGATGTTGTGGGGTGGATTTCTGTGACCGGCGCAGAGCCAAGGCAGAGGGCCATTCGCCAGGGGACGGTGCTCTCTCTCGAAATCCTGGACGGGACAGGGTGGTGACGTAGAGGGTGTCGTCCTCCTTGGTTGTGCTTGAGGAAATCACAACAGCGACGCATCATGGCCATTGTCAAAACCTTTATGTAGGGGAACACCCCTTCCCAGTCCCGAGCCCTTGTGCAGAGCTGTGGAGATTCGGATGACTAACGGGCACAGCAGTGGGTGTCCCCACCCAGTGGTGCAGACCTGGGGCTAGGGGGCTCAGCGCCGGACGCTGCAACGCTGGCTCTGCCCGCCGTCCTGGGCCTGCCGTCCTTCTCAGGCTCACGTCCTTCTCAGGGGCTGTGTCACTCCCCTCCTGCCCAGTGGTGAGAGACTTCCCAGCTGAGCTTTCTTCCTACCCCGCCCAGTCTGCTCAGCTTACCGCAGTGGCCAGCGCGACCTTCCCAGGGCAAGCACTCCTGTACCCCTCAGCCTGCCCCTGCCCCACGCCCTCCACTGCAGAGTCCAGACTCCTCGCTCCTCCTGGTCTGCTGAGATGCGCTGTGTGGCCTGCTCCCACTCTCGTGCTGCGCCTCCTGGTGTGCCTGCGTGAGGCTGGGCAGTGCCTGTGTTTACCGAGTGTCCCTGCTCGTGGCCTGTGTGGCTCCCCACGAGTCCCTGGGTCCCCCTTGCCTGTCTGCTGCAGTCCTGCTGTGCGTTCAAGGCTCAGCACGTGGGGTCCTTCCTCCAGGAGATATTCCGTGTTTGGTTACTAAGAGTGGTTCTCTCCCATGCAGGACTCCAAACGTGGCATGACCACCTATGTCCTGACCACGTTCTGCAGGGACGTAGCTGAGCCGTGCATGCAGCCGGTGCTCTCGGTAGTTGTGCGTTTTGTGAGGAGACAGTCTGTTTTTTCATTCAGGAGTCTGGATCTCCTGGCCCCTAATGCCGTGACTTGAGTATGGCTACTAAATTGCGTTCCCTACTGCTTTGGAACTCCATAGTGTGCTCTTTCTCATGTGTCTGCGCTCCTTGGAGCTGAGCTGTGGCGAGGTTGAGGCTTCCAGTGTCGCCTGCGTGTCCCATGAACTTGAGGGTCCCTGTGTCTTTATCATGTTCTGAGCACAGCCTGTGTGTGTGTGGGAATGGCGTCCTGAGGTCACACCGTGCTGCCTTTGGGGCTAACCGGGCCACGCTGTGGGGTGGGCAGAGTCCATCTGGGACAGGCTTGCAGTCGAAGCTCCTTCAGCGGCGAGCCCAGAGGGACCCGCTCACTTGCCAGGCGGATCGGCCTGGCGGGAGCCCGTGTTCGCCTGGGAGCCGCATCGGGATGAGCCCTGGAATCCAAGGAGCGGGCCTCACGGGAGACAGTCCGGTGGTCGGGGACCCAGGCCATGCAGGTCCTGCAGGGCATGGGCTCTCTCCCAAGCCCCCGCTGTCATGCCCAGTGCCCTCCCAGCCGCGCGTGGGGCCGCCCACTCAGACGACTGGACGCCGCGTCCTCCGCCACGTCCCTCCCCACCGGGAATCGGGAAGGCGGGGAGTCTGCTGGGGCCTGCCCTGCCTGTGGTCGTCCCTCGAGGGTCAGGCGTCCCCGCGAGCGAGGCTGGTCCCGCCGTGGGCTGTGGGTCGTGGGTGGTGTCTGCGCGCTGCCAGCGGCCCCTCCCTCTCCATTCACTTCCCGTTTCCTGTGACCCCCGTCATTCTTCTGTGCCGATGCCCCTCCCGGGACCTGGAGTGTCGCTCAGTGCCGTCTTCTCAGAGGAAGAGGGCTTTTCAAAAGCTCACCTTGGCATGAATTACTTCTGCTGCTCCTCAGTGATGTATTAATTTAACAGGGAGTGTGCAGGGAAGCAATACTAAAATGACATTCTCATGACGAATTGCAGACCGTACACTCGTGGCATCCTGCACTCACCGTTAGACGTGACCTGAGTCAGCCGCTGGTCCAGGGATGGGCCTCCTGAGCCCTCTGTCTTGTCCTAGAGCGAGGGCTGGGTGACGGTCAGGACAGAGTCACGCGTGGGTCACCACTAGACAAGCAGCAGGGATGGCAACATCAGCCTCACCACATTGCCTCCTTCCTTCTAGAACACGATCGCCCAGTGCTGCTCCGAAATTGTGGCCCTGCTTTCGGATGGCAGAGAGTCCGTGCCACTCTGCGAGGTACGTGCTTCCCCCCACCCGCCCGCGCTACCCACTGGCATTCTTATTGCCGTGGAACCCAACCTGCAGAAACCATCTCGTCAAGTACGAAGGGTCTCCCCGTCCTCAATTAATGTGGAAACGTGAGAACCACGCATTTACAACAGTGTATTGTTTGGGCTGAAATTTTCATTGTAAGAAAACAATGCTGCTAGTAATTACAGAAGATTCTGAGGAGGATGATTTTGGAGTCACCTCAAGTCTAACCATTCAGAGAATAACCCCCACCGATCTTTGGAGAGCATCTTGGATTTCCTCCAGGTGTAGACACACTTGAGAACGTTTCCATCAGAGAGAGCGCGCTTGACACGCACTCTGTCGCGTGCTGTTTTCACAGACAGTCGGCCTTGCTGTGGTCAGTGCCGGCCCAGCACTCTCGTGTCTGCAGCCCCGGGCTGTTGATGTGGCTGCGTCTCTGTTGATGGGGGTGGAGAGGATGGACTCCAGGACCACACACATTTCGCCCTTCTCATGATCTCCTTGGAGCTAACTTTAGGAGTTGGCTTTTGGAGTGAAAAAGTGTGTATATATTATTGTTATAAAATACACTTACGGTAAAATGTACTATTTTGACCATTTCAAAGTGCCCCGCTCAGTGACTGAGTGGCACGGCACACTCACCCTTCACTCGTGGTCTCAGCTGTGTCCGCACCATAGCAGAACTGGGTAGCTCTGGGGACCGTGTGGCCCCTAGAGCCCAGATCATTCTCTTGCCCTTGACTGAAAAAGTGTGCTGGTCCGTGTGAGAGAGAGTGGCAGTGACAGGCCACGGCTTCCACAGGGTGGTCAGGGAAGGCCTCCCTGAGGAATGACATTCACTGTCAGACCGTGTCCTTCCCATGGGAGCATTGGCCCCTTGGGCGTGGGGCGTCGTCTTCCTCTATGGGGCCTGCGGTACCGTGTGCGCTGCAGCCCGTGGTCTCTGGTGCACAAGCTGAACTGAACTTCCTTTAGTTTTGGACGCCTGCGGTTTCATCTTTGCTTTATTTATTCATGTGGCCATTTGTGTTCTTTCCTTGCCTTTTCAATAGAGAATGCAAATTTTTGTTATGGAGATGGGTATGTTTATTATAGCAGACCGTCCACAATCAAATCAAGTTTAAATCTAATTTTGGCAAACTGCCACTAAAAACGGGTTTAAAAAGAACTCTTGATCCTAAAACACATGATTTAAAGTGCCCATGGGATTTGGCTTCTGAGGGATCCAGGCTGGAGTCTTGGCCTCAGGTCTGGGCCGGGTGGGCCGCAGCGAGCTAGGCGGCATCCCCGAGCCTTGGTTTTCTCCCATGTAGCGCGGAGCAGTGACGTCCGTCCACCTCTCACAGCTGTGGTGAGGACTGAGCCATACTGTGTCTCAGGTGTTTGCTGTGGGGCCTGCTGCAGGGGGTTGAGGAGACATCGGCTGTGCCGTCTCCATCACCGTCGTCACCACCCACCAGGCCCATTCCTCCCGTGGGAACCCATGTGCTCCAGCCAGCTAACTTCAGGCACGATCTTCAGACACAGGCTTGTTCTGACACAGCGACGGAAAGGGAGAGGGAGCGTGCTGGGGGCCGAGGAGGAATGGAGCTTCTGTCTTCGCCTGTGCCGCAGGCTGCTGCTGGAGCCTGTGGAATTAGGACCATGTGCCAGATCCCAGCATGGGCCACTTGGGGGGAGAGAGCTGCCCGTCTGGGGGAGGGGCTCCCTTCCGGGCCAACCCCCCGCTGTGCATCCCCCAGACGAGAGACATGCCCAGCAACTGGGACGGGACGCGGCCTTCACCAGTAGGCCCCCAGAAGCAGGTTGCTGGGCAAGTACGCGCACAGCCTCCGCGAGGCAGGGGGCTCGGCCCCCGGGCTTGGTCTCGCCATGCAGCTCACGGCAGACACCATCCCAGGTCACTGTGCTGTGTTGGCTCTTGGTTAAGACACGCGTGGGCACGCAAGGCCTGAGAGAGAGCGCCTGAGGACGCGGGGAGCTGAAGGCCGAAGCAGGTGCCGCGTCTGTCTCTTCCGTGACTCCCAGGAGGGGCGGTCACCGTCGGGGATGATTTCTGCTGGGCCTCAGTGAAAGCCTTTTCAGGTGCCGATGTAGGCTCCAGCTACTGCAGCTCCCAAGCTGTCAGGCAGGATCCAAACAGAATGCGAAGGATATTCCTCCTTTCCTTGCTCTGGCTGACCAGGTAGGGACCCAGGTGGTTTCTGCGGCCTCCTGTCCCTCTTAGCAGCTGACCACCAGCGGCACTCAGAACGCCAGTGTAGACACTCCCGCTGCGGCAGAGGCAGTGTCAGTTAGAGTCGCTGCAGTCGGCTGGGTTACACGTTTGCCTCTGGGTTCATGTGATACCAACACCTCTGTCTAAACAGTCACCAACACACACTTGCACACACATATGCATGTGTGAGCGGGACTGACTGGATTCACACAGAAGGCGTGGAGAGGAGGGTCCTGGGACCTCTGGCTCACAGGTGCAAAGGCCATCCTGGGCCAAGATGTCGAATGAAACAGTGGGGGATGGCAAAGTCTGTTTTCTCGGTCGCAAGAGTTTGGAAGAATCTTTTTTTCTTTCAGTTGAAGACTTTAGGCAGACCCAGCGTAGAACCTGACAAGCAACGGTGACAGTCGCCGTGAGCATGCAGATACTCCCACTGCTGGCCACGGCAGTGATGACTCGCGTGCACTGAGCACAGGGCGTGTGTACCCACGGTTGCGTGTTCTAAATGTGTGACATCTCAGGAAGCTGTGGGGCTGGCGACCATTGCTATTCCCATGTTCGAGACGAGGAAGCCGAAGCACCAGAGAATTAAGTAGGGCGCTCCAGGCCTCACGGGCTGGTGAGAGGAGGAGGCAAGAGTCAGATCGGGAGCCACGCTTCCAGCCCGCCAGCACCGGGAGGGGACAGCTTCCCGGGACGGAGCGAGCACAGCTGCAGGGGCAGGGGCAGGGGCGGGAGGTGAGCGTGGCGGACGTGGAGCGGCGTCTTGGCCAAGGCCAGGGAGGAAGGAAGCCCCTGAGGGAGACAGGGCGTCCCGGGAAGGAGCTGGGATGGGCGCCACAAGGGAGGAGGCAGGAGGGGCCTGTCCGGGAGAGGAGGGAGGCCCTGGGTGCAGGAGGAGGCGAGGAAAGGCCCCTCCTGCCACCCTGGGAGCCCGCGGGAGGTGCTGCCGCGCTGTGAGCGAGGGGCGGGAGGCGGCTTCCCCGGGCTTGTGACCTTCTCCACGACGTGGAGGACCGTGGATCTGCTGCTGGAGTGGGGCGGAGGGGGGAGGGGTGGCCTTGCCTGTCGCCGTCACTAGGGGCAGTGGGGGGGGCTGGTCAAGGACAAAGGAAAAGATGGGGGCCACGCAGGACTTAGAAGTCACGGTGGCGTGGGTGCTCAGCTTCCGGACTTGTGTCTCCAGCAGGACGTGGCTTCCTTGCTGTCGCACTGGCAGAAGCCAGCGGATCGGCATCTCACTCTGTTGCCCAGGGAGCAGTGCAGTGGCACAGTCACCGCTTACCACAGCCTCGAGCTTCTGGGCTCAGGGGGTCCTCCCACCGCAACCTCCAGAGAAACTGGGACTGCAGTTGCATGCTACCATGCCCGACTGACTTTTTAATTTTTTTTTGTGGAGATGAGATCTACCTGTGTTGCCTAGGCTGGTCCTGAACTCTTGGGCCAAAGCAACCCTCCCGCCCTGGCCTCCCAAAGTTGTGGGATTATAGGCGTGAGTCACCATGACCCACTGAGGCACATGATCCATCGGGGCAGATGTCGGGGCAGATGCCAGAGGACAGAGGCATGCGAGAGGCGCGAAAACATGGAGACCCTGCCGTGTGTGGAGGGGGCGGGTGGAGGAGATGAAGCCTTGGGATGGAGCCACCTAGGAGGCAGCAGGGGCGAGGCAGTGGGATGGTGAGGCCTCGGGGCAGACGCCGCCTTCAAGGTGCCAGCACGTGTGAAGCCAAACAGCCTCTGTGACTGTCATCCAAGAGCGGCTCAAGTTCCTGGAAAGAGGCCTGCCCTGGCTCTGCCCCCTGAGGCGTGGCTGTGTTGGGTGGGCTCGGGCGTGGCCGGGGCACTCCCAGGGGGGAGGGGCCGGACGAGGGCTGGGAGCTGCCGCCTTGCCAGCCTCACGCGCCCACTCGCCGCTCCCACTGCCGGGGCTCGCCGGGCGCGCCTCAGACTCAGGGCCAGGAAGCCCTGCTGTCGGCTCAAGGGTTCGACGTCATGCCTGGGCGCCCCCGCCTCTCTGTGGATGGGGGTGTGGAGACGAGAAGGCTGGGCTTGCCGAAGGCTCACCTGCCGGCCCAGGGCCAGGAGAAGGCTGTGGTCAGGAATGCGACATGGCACATGGGCCTCAGGCCCCTCACAGCAGGGTGGCTGGACTGCAAGCCAGGTCTCGGGAGCAGCCAGGCCGGAGCTCAGTCATGGTCTCCATCGTGGCTGGACTTTGACTCCGTCCTTCACTGGAGGAGTCAAAGGCAAACGTTGGAAGGGCGTGTGGGCTGGGGGCTTCTGTTGCAGCCACTCGGGGAAGATGCAGTCTGCCACACCGCTCGTAAGCCTCCCGTTTGGAGGCCGATTCCTCCTCCGAGCAGGGGCTGTGCCATGGAGCCCGCCTGGGCAGTTCCTAAGATGCCTCCCTGTCCCTCTCAAATCCACCAGTGACCGTCATGGAGTTGCTGAGTGCGTTTATTCCCACAGGTGAGTAGAAGCTAGGCGGATGCTCAGACCATCCTTGGACATCCCCCGTGCTGCCTTCCTAGGTGCTGGGTGGGCTGTCCTGGCCCCGTGCAGGTGGGACAGCATCCACTTGGCCTGTTTAGGTTGTTGAACCCTAGAGGGCCGTGCTCGACTGTGGGATGCCATCATGTTACCCTGTGCTTCTCAGTTTCTCTTTAGCAAAACTTCCCCAATGGCAGATGACTCTGTTCTCTAAACTATCACAGCACTGTGCACAAGGTTCCCAGATCCCATCGTAGGTATTTACTGACCT